GATGGACTCGTCTCTGACAGAAAATGCTCCTTTTCCTCTTACAAACATTGAGACTTACGGTGCAGACCTGGGGAGCACAGAACTGCCTATAAAGCTGAGAGCCAAAGCTGCAGAGAGCATGGGACCGCTCACATATACAGGTACTACATCAAACTGAGCTTGTATCTACTTAATTTCTCATTGCAGTTTAAATCCACCCTTAGTTTATTAACCTAAAACTGATAACCATTACTAACCATGCACACAGCCCAGACAAACCAGATAAGAGCAAATACTGCTCTCAAAGTCAATGAGGAAATTCACAGGAATTCTAGTGGGAATGGTTAGACCAAATACAGTTCCTATTGTGGTATCAGGGACTGACAAGCCTCAACCTGGGATAGATAGAGGCTAAATTTCACTTTAAGTAATAATACTGTTTTAGAAAAGTAAATAATCATGTCCTAACATGATTCATAACAATATATTTTTAGAAAAATCACACTCTTAAATTAAGAGCAAAACAAAACAAAGTCCCCCAAGTTTCTGCCTGCAGGGTAACAAACCCTTGGAAAAGTGAACACACCTTAAAGCTTCCAAAGCCTGAAGGCAAATAAAAGGGAACAAACCATGTATTTGTCTCATAACTTACATGTTTTTATGCGGGCAGAGACAACAATGCTGCCCTTTCCTACCACGTTAATGCAAGAACTCTCCTTTGTGGAGTAGGAAAAACCAGATGCATAGAGGTGAATGTAACAAGACCAATGCTTAGCAATTAGCAAAGGAACCAGCAGGCAGTAATTAGAAAACCTCTTAGGACTGCAGCAGGTTGACTCAGACAAATTTAAAGGTCTGTGCCACACCAGAGAAGTATGTTAGGAAAGAGTTCCTGTACTAAAATAACTCCACAGCAGTACAGACTGAACAGACAGGGAGCTTGCCAAGAAAACTGCACTCAGGAAAGGGGTTTGCCTGGTGGTTCTGGTGTTGGCTTACCCTTACCTCATGCTTTTCATGAGCTATTGTGGCTTTCACTACCCCTGCCACACTGTTATTGTCTCTCTGCGTTCTGCATGGTAGATATAAACCCATAGTGCCTGTACTCTAGCTACAGCAGCAGCTCAAGTTAGGCCACCCAGTTTCACACTGCTATTGGCAAGACTCCTCCCATATCCAGTGTCCCTTCAGAAAAAGCAATCTACTACAGCTTTACCCTCAGCTGCAGCCTGCTATATACAGACTGTTGCTGACTTTAAGCAGTCAGGAGTCAATAGTATCAACTGCTAGACTGCATATTTTAAGTACAAACCCCTGCTTTGCTGATTTGCAAGAGAATTATCCAGATGATCTGGATCCTCAGCACCCTCCTTCAGATGGCTGCGGTGCCCCTAAGGGTACAACAGAGGTGTAGTCGAGAGAGGTATAGTCATACCCAGGGGTTTGACCTTGAACACAGATGGTCTCATTTCATTACATGCAGTTGTTGGCAGATGGACAAAGCAGCAGCAAATTAAAGTTTCTCAGCACACCATTATCACATGCTGAACTACTTGGTGTTACAAGAATGGAGAGAAGTTAACAATACACAAACACTGCCTGCTGAAGAAAATGTTGATGATAACAATTGAATTCAGTCTCAAGAACAACCGAGTGCTGGAAACAATGCAGCCTTGGCAGATTTGCAAACTTTCTGTTCAAAATCTCAAATGAGACTGTCAGTCCTGAAAACGACCTCAGATAGCCCTTAAGAAAAGTAAATAAATATGCAAAAATTCTTGTTTCCTGCAAAAATCGATGACCAATTTTGTTACTTATGCACAGGCTGCAAACAAGCTGTGGGCTCTCAGGTCAGCAATACAATGCCAAACACCAAGTGAGATTCAGCTGCCCAGCCAAGTGGTTATTATGGTCTAATTCACTTCTCCTCCATGCATTGTCTTAAATACAATGGGTGTTTACACTAAAACTGTTATTTTTGCTAAAGCCATTAGAAGTTCTTCCTCGCACAAACCACACAGCTTTGCCCCTCCTAGTCCCTGCACAGCTGTTCCTTCTTGAAATATCTGACACCTGCAAACAGCCTGTCTCCCCACACATTAGTCTGGCATACCCGAAATTCTGTCCTGCTAGGACATGCACATTTTATGGGAGAAGTGCTAGGATGTGGTAGATGCATTGTGCTTCTGTGCAGCCTTAGGACACGTCCGTGACAGCAGAGATTGCGGTCACAGCCTCTGCAACAAAAAGGAGTCAGCACAGTGGTCAAGTTAGGGCAAAAAAGTATTTATAGCTTCTTGGAAATAATCACATTCTGCAGTCAGGTTCCAGAACGAGTAATTTTATTCTGTTAGATGTAACATTCTCTGTAACGTAGATGGATATAAAAAATTGTCTTTAGTGGCACTGATGTTCAGCTGTTACATAGCTGTGTTTCAGCAGTGAGTTTCCCTATATACTTAAAAATAAAAGGTCAGATGGTTGTAAAGGAACTAATGACACAAATCTCTCTACAATTTCTACAGATGACAAGCCCTTCACACATGCATACAAAGTTCCAGTCCTTTCTATACAAGATGGTTGTACTGCATGTTTAAAAAACCCCCAATACTCAGGAATTTTCAGGACAATAAATGAAACTTTTAGAACATTTTAAACAGTGATTAATGCAGCATCACACAACTTGACACTTTAGTATCTCTGCTACGATAGGCATAGGGAGATTATTTGATCAAGGTCTAATACATCTGTGATGTATTAGATGTGGCATGTCTGTTCTTATGCCACAATTCAGCTCTCATACCCAGTCTTCTCCTGCAGCATCTTTTTTTCAAGCTTTTATACAAGAAACTGTTCTCTCTGCTAATGAATTAAAGTTCATGAAACCATAGTGGTCCTGGTTTGAAGACTTCTGGTGCAAGTGCATGTGTTAATAAGCAGTCCATGTCTTTTTGATGTAAAAGGTCCTACTACTACAGGTGAGCCAAACACTGCAATACACATCAGCCTACATTAAGGACTCACAAGATTTATTTTGTATACAATCCACTTCAGCAAAGTAAGGATCCAGCTACTCAAGGGAATGTCTTGTCTTTGTTTATTTAAATAAAATCAAATCAAGCAGCAGCACAAGATTTAAATCTAGTAAGATTTCTTGACCATCTTGATGACAGTGAGGAAAAGCCAGGTGCAGATAATGCATGCAAATTCTGGATTTGTTACTTTGTGGAAGCTCTTTGTTCTAAAAAACAGCACCCCTATTACAGCAGTTCACAAAGCAGGAGGTGAAACAGTGGAAGAGTTGTTGCACTTGCTGTCTCAGTTGGATTGGTCTGCCTGGCCAGCTAATTATGCAATAATGCTTACTTCCCTTCTACAATCTCTACAAATACTAAGTATTCCTGATGTTTAAAAATAAAGCCACCTCTGAAGAATGGCTAACTATTAATAGCTTAAACTAAATTGCACTGCATAAAGACGATTATAACAAGTTAAGTTTTATGTGTTTCCTCACTTACTATTGTTGAAGAACCACTTGAACATGAGCATTGCTTAGAATCCGACACAAGAGCTGTTTAAGTCACTTTACAATATTAACTATTTCTTTTGAACAGCAAACAAAGGTTACTTTTCAAAGCAGTTACCCAGTATCTGCTTGGGGTTTTTTTCCTGAAAGACAGCATCAGCAGGTTTGACACATTTGTCACTGTTTCTACACCGTGATAGAGAGGATGACTAAGCACCCTCTAGAGCACATACTGGAAGGTGTAAACTTTTGTTTACAAAGTTCCCAGGAGAAGAGGATGCCTCACCTTGTCGTCATTCACAGATTTGAGGTGAAATGGAAGCGAAAAGGATTACTTCCTACAGAACCTACAACAGTTCTGACATTCTCCAAATGTCACAACTGAGATCAGCTGTGAAACATCTATTAACTGAGACACCCACAGGGAACAAATAAGATATGGAAACAATCTAGAGGTGCCAATCTAATGGCTTCACAGATGTGTTCACACACAGCCTGCAGCACACGTTTTGGCAAGGCCTGACAGATCTATAAACCAAAATCCCTCCAATTATCTCCCTGCCTCCTGAAACCCACTCAACTTAAAGATCTTCACAAGATACTACAATGGCCACCATCTCTCAAAGCCTATCCTTGGAAGACCTTATTACTTACAGAACAACCACTGAGTTTACTCAGGACTGGAAAACCTGTATTCAACTTACTCTCCCCTTCTACCTCAGCACATCCAACTGCAAGCATTTCCCCCCCCCCCCCCAATATGGATGCCAGATAAGGTGCTCAAGGTTTCAAAGACTGCTTTTTATTCCTGTAACTCCTTGGTTAAAAGGTGCCTTGTCTCTAGGTAAATACCAGAGCAGTACTTTGAAACAGACATTAAGCTTCCTTTCAGAATAGCTCTGAAGTATAGGCTGCTTGGTCACCATCTAATTTTCAGTACAGCTGCTATTAGAAGCAAGAACATGCCACCTTTGTTTTATAATCCAATAAATGTATTTACAAAAGAGACTAATACTTTCTACTTAGGCTCTCATCTATACATCTCAGAAATGGTTCCCCTAAAAGACAGAGGCAATTATTAAAAAAAAAACTCCAAAAAGCATAAATCTGAATTTTATATCTTGAAAGCTTCCATCTATAGTAATCACAACTGACTTAATCCTAGAACTAGCCATTCCCCACTCAAATAAGAGGCTGTTTTGGTAAAGCAAAGATTTATTTATCAATTTCCATGTATCAATGTCAGACCAACTGATCAGATACTTACACAACTATCTGAAATACACAGTATTTGCATTTCATACAAGCAACTAAGTGCAGCCTGTAGTAAGTTTTCTATGCAGTATCCAGATGCTCTCACTGCTACATAATTCCAGTTAAAACCCAACATCAGTAATGCTTCCACAAGAGTTTCTATACCTGAGAAGCTTTAGTATACGCTTTCAAGAGGAAGTCTGCAATTAAAAGCCACATACATAAGCGTATATAAAGGTTGTCATTCCAGCTGCACATTACTTGCTTCCTTTGAAGCAAGATCTGATTTACTCTCCTTTAAATCACACAATACTTGCAATGGCCCATCTTCAGCAGTGCTGTCTGTATCGTTTCCACAGTTAAACTCTTTATTTTCTTGCTTGGATTCCTCTAGAGCCAGACTCATCTCAAGATTGTCAGGTGCTTGCCCAGTTAGCCTCTAGAAAGAAACAGAGGACAGTGAACTTAATACTTTTTCTACTTAACAGCCAGCAAAGACTGTGCATATTGAATTAAGCAAATTAATTATCTTCATTTGGAAACTGTCGATATAATTAAAACATTCCTCAGTCACAAAAATCTTAAGACACTTGAGTTCAATTCAAATTGCTACCTCTAACTCACAGACCACATCTGCTTTTGTTGACTGTGAAGTCTTCTTTAGGTTCTTCAGTAGGACAAGTTTTCTTAGGCAACCTAAAATATGGGAAACAGCTTCCCAAATTAAATATTACTACAGTACTACATAGGTTTAATTTTAGAAAAATTACCATACAACAGATCAAGCTTATAACTTTTAATCAGATATAACAAAGCTACATTAGACCTAGATGAACTAGAACACCCAGCAGTTTCTGGCACTTGATGATCAAACCAAAAGCTCCTCACATAACCTGATGTAAGGAAGAAAAACAGGACTGTAACAGGCTGCTTTTGAGGTTTCTAGTTCTTTGATGTATCAATGCACACTAAAGCCTCCTAAGTGATAGGCTTACAACTAGTAAGTGAACTTATATGTTGAGGAACTGCAAAGAAGTTTCCAACTACATTAGTTCTTTAAGTCCTTAAGTCATTTAACTTCTGCTGTGGGTTTATCACTAACAAGGAACACTTCCTGAATACTAAAAAAAAAAAAAAATTCAAGTGTAGCAAATTAGTGGAGTCTTTCAAGACTGATCTAAATAATTGCACTAAATGAAAATTAACTTTAAATTTACTTCTTGATTAATGATGTTGCTTGCAATAATCTTCCATTTTGTTTCCATCTCCCCAGTCTAATCAAGGAATCAAAATATTTGCCAGGCACCCAGCTTTATATCCCAGTTGAGAGCTCAGTCCCTACAAAAGCAACCTAGCTGATAATTTTAGCATCAAGGTTTCATGGCTATATATTTATCGCAGCTTCAAAGGCTGTTTCAGACAATCTACTCCTCATAGAGGACTCATGGAATCAGTGACACAACTGCCTATCCCCAAGGTCTTCTCAGAGGAAGCTGTTTTGAAATTTACAAGTTTATGAGCTATACAGACTTTCTGCATTAGACCTTTCTGGGCCACAAAACTGGCATTTACTGAGTGAAACCTTAACTATAAAGGGCATAGGTGCTCCCTTCTCCCCCTCACTGCTCCACTTTGTGTGTTCCTGTTTTAAGTCTAGTTCCTCAAAGGACACAGCCAGTACAAACACTTAATTTAGCCAGCAGCCTCATGCAACCTATTGAGCATTTGAATTTAAATCTCAGAAAAGTAAAAATGAACCCTTCCTTCCCACATCACTCTCTAACATGTAAAGCCCGTTCAGTTAAGACAATAGGTTGAATCAGAAACATACAGAAAATATTGCTCTTAGAACTCTCATTACTCTTGTGGGTTCACAGGTGGAAAAACTTATCCCCTAGAAGGGGCTTCATGCCTCTGGATTTGAGCAATTCCACAGAAAAGTGGGGAATCCCACAGGTCAGACAGCAATTTAAAATGAAGTCATGTGAGCACACAAAACAGAAGTCATGATTCATTACAAATACCTTTGCTTAATTCTCACTTTTTCAATCTACAACATCAACTGAAAATTCCTTTAAGTACCTCAATCATGCTGGTCATGTAATGCACGTGTTCAGCAAGGGACATCAGCTCTTCATTCTCTTCTTTTAGGCGGGCAATTTCATCATCTTTCTGTTCTATTTCTTTGTGCAACTGAATTCAAACAAAGTGTTAAAACAGGAAGACAAGAGCCAGTGGTAAAGAAGTTAATTATCTTTCAGTAGCTACCTTTTCATTTTCCTGAAGCACTTCATACAGAGCTTTCCTCCTTTCTTCAGCCAGTGCTTTCCAATATTGAGGTGAAGGGTTTCCTGAAGCAAGAAGCTACAGTAAGTATGTGCTAGGATTGAATTCTTGAGATCATCTTAAGATATCTAACTTGTATACAAGTGTTCTGTAAAGTGCGATAATAAGAACTCACTCTGTATAGTTCCCCCCTCCCCGAGATTATTGCAAACAACTAAAGACATAATTTTATAGAAGAGATCCTACATGGAGAGCCTTCAAGAAGCTGCCTCAACCACAGCAGCAGGCTTTCCAAGATGATGGTCACATTTGTAACTGTCAGTCTTAACACACACTTCGTGGAAGTCAGGAGTCTTATTGTCAAATCACTGTCCAAACATTGGTCTTAACCAGTTTCCCACTGAACTTGAGATACTTTCAAACTGGTTCTGAGAAACTGCACATGCAGCACACTGTGCCAAAACAGACTTTGATTTCAACTTAACTATTAGCCACCTGAAAGCTTGTAGCTAAGCCAAAGTAACAAACTATGGGACTTAACATTGCTGCACACCGAGTCTGTCATAATCACTAGCTGAGAACCATTCTGAAACATCAGGTATCTATAGTGTATTTACTATACTACAGAGGATAAATATCATTAACTCCTGCTAGGCATTGTATATAAACACTGAGCCCTTATCTAACTGACAAGGGAACTATGCTTCAAGTTTATTCCAATGGGAGCATATCATTTTAGGTGCAAGAAAACATTTCAGGAATTACCACATACCTTTTATCATGAGATCTGCAGCTTGAATGGCATCATTTTCTTGCTCCTTGTCCACAGACACCTCAGCTTTACAAGCCTTTGAGGCAAACTTGTTATTCCAGAGTTTCCTTTTGACTGAAGATTTCTTCTGCATAAAATATGCAAGGTTAACGTCAGATCAAAATTTCAGCTCTTTTTTTAAAAAATACAAACTTCTCACTCATGACTGCAAGTGAGTCTTCATAAGCCCTACTTTCCTCACATTATAGTTCTAGTTTACAGACATCTTCCTTGATACCCACAGGTTTAACAAAAGAATCTCAAACATTTTCCTGGAGTACTCAGAAATTGCTAGGTTTTAATATTATTACTAAAATAGTAGTAAGCTTAATTTGTGTCACACTAGTAAGTGGATTATATATTTTTCAAATATATTGGTTTTAAGTTAAAAGCTCAAAAGCATTTCACTACAAGTAGAAATAATTACACATCTAAAGGTTATCTTTCAACTCATACCTCATTACGTCTGCCAACTAGGCAACCCGTTGCTGAAGGCTGAATCATTTTAAGAGTCCGTCTTGGGGCAGCACTGCCTGCGGTGTCTGTGAGGTACTTCTAAAAAGACAAATAGGGCTTTCAGATGGTTGCCACCCTTCTCTACATAAACTGAGACTTAGGAATTTGTCATGCTTCCATTAAAGATGAGCCATGGGTTACAAGACAAAAAGATGGTATGTCTTAACAAGTCTATGTTGAGGCTTGTGCAAAGACAAGGATCTAGTCATTTGTAGCAGAGATGGACCTTAATCACATGAAGCTATGTTCACATCCTGCCTCTGAGTAAACCTTTGCCCTTGACTTGAGCAGGCCTTATAGCAGATATATTCCGACTAGATTTCAAGGCCAGTTACAGTGCAGAAACACATGTAAACTTAAGATGAAGCTCTCAAAGTTTTATTTTGCAACAGCAGTGTTAGACTTTGGGGGACAGAGACAAAAGCAACTGTAACTGCAAGTTTAGAGTAACTTTACAAGTTATAACTTTGTGCAGCACCTGTTCTTGTTACCTAAGAACACACTCTGAAATGCTGTTCATTTAAATAGATGTGTTGCTTCAATTATCCATTAAAGTGGATCTAAAGCTTCCTTGCTTCAATCCATCCAGGCTATTGTTTTTTTTATAAACAGTATGTTTATCACCTTTCCTGTCAAGCATAAATACCTGTTTCCCGCATTAAAGCTTTCTGATTGGGTTGGTTACAGGGCCACCATGGGATAGCAAACAATGGCAGACAACCAAGCAAGAATAGCCAGAACACAATGCCACACCAGCGTGAGAAAGTTACCGATTCTCACCATACTTCATATGACAAGAGCTCGCCTTTCCCACGGTAGTTTCTGCCACCAATTAACCTACTGTTGAACTACAGGGCAAACACTAACTGCTGTGGGAACAAGAATCACACCATGTCAGACATTGCTTGCTGCTATTGAAGGTTAGAGTTAAGTACACGCTGCCAAGAAATTATTGACTGATACTTGAGTTAACCCATTGCATGTAACTATTTGAAAGTGCAAAAAACCACCCTGAGAAATGTATATCCTAGAGTCACTATAAGACAGGATTACCATGTGTATAAGTTAGACTGACCAACTGGCAATTTTCATTAATAACAGAAATTCTCATTACAGTCACTCTATCCCACATGACAGAGGGCGATTAGCCTTTATTTTATATGGTATTCGTACAATTCCAATTAGAGCCTACATTAAAAGATTTAACAAAAGCATCTTATAACGGACCAGAATAGGTATAAACTTTAGTAACTTCTCATCAGCCATCTCTTAAAAACCTTAATCCTTTGAGCACTTCCACCAGTTCCAAGGCAACTATGGTTCACGAGTGGCTTTAGAAACAGAGCTGCCTGCATGAATACTTCAGCTAAAGCATGCTCAAGACAAGAGAGATTTAACTCTAAGTTCATCGCTATAAAGGGCAGATTACTCTACAAACCCTAAGCAGTCAGACTGATTCAGTAACTCAACTAAGGCAGGTAGCCAGCACCAAAACCAAAAAATCACATGGAAAGACAGCAAGCTCAGTGTCAAGCTAAAAAGGACTTACTGAGCAATTAAAAAAATACAAAACGAGAGTAGTCTTAAGTACATATGCCCAAGCAGAACAGAGTGTTCCCAAACCACTCTGCCTGCCAGGTTACTGAAGCCAACAGGACATAAGCCAGGTGGAAGCACAGTGCAAGAGATCCCTTTGTATTCCTTCAATGGATGTAAAACTTGTATCAGACAGAGGGACCATTTCCCAGAGAACTGAGCACAAACCTCTGAACAAAGCAAACTGTGTCTGAGAGACTATCGACAAATTTCATCTTCTACTTCCTATCCTTATCTGCTCCTATATTCTAGCTTTAAGACTTTAAAGCCTATACCTGCAAAGATCCTGATGATGTTTCCGTGTTCGGTTTCTGTTTCATTTTGGAATTCATAGGATGACTGCAGAAAAAAAAAAATTAAGGCAAAAAATTAGTAACATCGGTGTACACCTGAAGTTCAGGGTCACTAACTACAGAACGTTAGAATTTCAGTTTATCAGCTTTTTTTGACAGCCACGAACCGCATAGCCATGGGCTCTCCCTGAACCCCTAGGGCACCCTCTTGGGGTCCGTTCCTTCCCCGATAGGAGCTGTACGCGCACTGGAAGCGCCAGGCCCTGAGGGGTCACCCCAGCCCACCACGGACGCCACCAGCGACTACAGCCCCGTTAACCCTTTTCACGGCGACAGCGTGAGGACGAGCGGGGGGTACCACAGCCACACGCCCAAGATGGCGTGGAGGGGCGGCAGCTTCGCGCTCCCGCCAGCCGAGCCCACA